CATTCTATATTGAAGTACAAATCCATGCCCATCACATTTCTTGAGGGGGCTCACATATTTTATTTGGTTCCATGTCATTTGCAGTAACAAAATTAAATGATGGTCTTAGATCCATTTCAGTACAAATATCTTCAAATTTTTGTCTTCTTTGAATATTAATAAATATAAATTAACTTTCTTGAGGCTTAGAAATGTCAAACTTGTGATTATCATACCTGTGTACAACCACGTACATAATGACAATGCCTTTATAAAGAAAGGCACAGTCATATAATATGGTATAAGAACAACAATATATATATAATTGTAATGTAACTTTACTTTCTACTGTCTTGGAAAAGAAGCAGTCTATCGTTTTCATATTCCCAGAGAGCCATGTGTTATAGCACATCATTTTACTTAACAACAACTAAAGAACAAATATGTCAATAACAAATACATTCAGACACATGAATTCAGATTACTTAAGACATGATACTGACAGATAAAGGTTTCAGTTCAAACAGTTCTTTCTCATGGAGATTTCTTAAATTCACTAAAAGAGTATCTAAGCTGGTAGATATTGGTGTTATAAGAACAAGTACTTTTACTGTATCAGAGCACATCACAGTAGATAGTTATTACACACTTATGTTTTAAAAAATTGCCACCTAGTATTCACATTAAAAACTACATAAATATAAATCTCCCATAAAAACTGGATGTGAATCATGAAATCAGATTAAGTAGTAAACCAATCTTCAGTACACATATTTTGCCATTTATAAGAATCCATCATATTATTTTGATCTATAGGAACCACACATTGACTTTTTTGAAAATGTAAGACAAGAGTTAGGTTTGTTTACTCAGACTTTCATTAATTTTTTTTAAATATTACATTACAAAGAACAATAAAAGTACAGGTATGAATTCTGTAGAAACACCAAGCCTTGCAGAAATATTTTGTGTATGATTATTTTTTATGTAACTGTGCTACATTACACTAATATCCCTGATCGTAGAATGGTATTTTATATATTCTGATTATTGGTAGCACCTTAAATAGTCATCTAGAAAATATGAAAAGGGGGCAAGATAGTCCATATAACACACTCAAATGGTCTATGATATTAAAATCCAGGTCATGAATATAATACTAAATAGTTGTGAACAATTGAAAACAGGAGAAAGTGAATGCAAGTGAATACATAAATCAAACTGGATCAATCTTATTTATTCTACCATTCCACCGATCGAATTACCCTAAGTCAGACTGAATAATGATTGTTCTCCTTTGCCTTTTATAATCACTGCATGTCTCTAAATATGATTGCTATGTTTTAATGGCCACATAGTTTGTGTATAGACTATATTTACAATATTAAAGACAAATAAATAAAAATGATACTTAGTCCCTGTTATACTTCCATATAATGAAACCTTCATCAACATTTAATTAAATATCGTTCACTCAGTTACTACCTTTCCACCAGACACGTTCAATACCAATCATACCTGAATGTGTGAATTTACAATTTTTATCAATTTTATTAAATACACCTCCATACGCACTCTGGGAGAGGAAAGAATTGTTAAAAAAATATAAAAGAGCATATATTTTTCTGGAGTTTCATTTAATCGAATCTTTAAGATATTTGAGTGAGAGTTTCTTAAAAATTTGAAAGAAGTTAATATTGACCAAATTGTATTGAGAGAAAAGGTTGTTTCAAAATTGATTATCAAATAATTTTTGATCTCAAGAAAACAAATACTTTCCTGTCTTTTAGCAGTAGTACTTATTTCTCCTTAATTTAATAGGAACTTAACCACCTTGAAAAAACAATTATGCTTAAATGAATAACAGCAACTTGGAACTTATCTTACAAAGAAAATTCTTAAGCAGAAGAATCAATATTACTCCATGTATTCTGAACTACTGAAACAAAGAAAACCATACTAATGAAGCACATTTATGTAATGAATATTACTTTGAAGTTAGATGTAAACAACATCACAGAATATTCACTCACTATTTTAAGTTTACAACTTTTGGTGTAGGCAATGAGTGGCAAGGCTGCATGTAAAAGTAGCAATGTAGCATGTAACAAAGTAGGCAATGTTTGGCATATTTTTCTCATTGATGTACACAGAAAAGAAACCCTATAGTGATTTTAAATATCCAAGATTAGAACTGTGGAGGCCACAAGAAGAAGAGGAAGAGAGTGGTCAGACATGATGAAATATTAAAGAAAACGTCTCTCTCATGACTTTTTAATTGATATTCAACACAAGAATAAATGCATTTTTCACTTGGCAATGTAAGATTGTTTAAAATGTATTTCTATATTGTGAGAATCCATAAATTATTCACTTGAGTTTGTAATCATAAACTTACAAATTTTATAATACATTTAGAAAGCATTACAAACCCGTTAAAAATTAACTTGTCATTTCATTTCAGCATTATATCCATTTCATAGTTGCATAATGTTTTTGAATTCATATTTGCATGGATCTAAATAAGATTAGAGTTAGGAGTTTATGACGGATAATATTCAGAAATTTTATTTTATGATCAATAAACTAAACAGAATACAGCTGAAGATTAATAATTTGCTAATAAGACATAGATCATAGAATTCTGTAGAATCATGACATGATCATAGAATTCTAGAATTAAAAGTTAATGAAACCAAAATGCTTGATTTGATTCTCAAGAGATTCATCACATATATTCCTTTTTATTTTGAAAAAGTTGTTACTATGTTTTTAAAGTACAAAAATATGTATAAATCTCGAGTTCAAGAATTATAAATTTCAGAGAAATTTAAGTAGACGTTTTACATGATGTATTTATGAAATTATTCAGTATCTTACAAAGTTGAAAACAAAATTTCTACACTGTTCAAAGATACTGAAATCATAGTTATTTATGCAATTACAGGTACTCATAATTCAGGTTTATGTACAAAATTATAACATAAATATCAGCAAGAGATGGAACTGCTATATTCTTAAAACTCAGAAACAATTCCCAGCTTTATTAGAATTTGTCTGTAAATGAAAACCAAGAAATATATGTCTGACAGCCATGCGCTAGTAAGAGTTGATCAATTTTGCTGCCTGTCCTCTTTCCTTGAAACCTCCTTACCTGAATAGGCAAGGTTTGCCACCTACCTGGTGAACTCATGACTTGGAGAATAAGATGTCAGAAGTAATTCGCGAATATGGGTATGAAGTTGGCGCAGTTAAGCAGATTGAATAAATGATAAGGTATGTGGTCAATGAATAATTAAAATATATTATTGTTTAGGATATGATGTGCAAACAAGCCATTATAATAAATTGCAGTGTTTTCTCACGTAGTTTGATGAAAAGTATTAAAAAAGCAGGATAAAGGGAAAATTAGAGCTATTATAATAAAATTAACTATTTGTATCTAATTAGCATACTTCACCTGCTACGCCAGGAGAATTGTCACATTCATATTATAACTTAATAAAATTCCAAGTGCCATCAGAAAAATGGAATGAAATGAAAAGTAGAGGAATTAAGGAAAAGGAATGTTAAAACACCTTTTTCTTTAAATAACTGAAAATGATATATTTTGATTAGAGTATTATTTCCTTATTTTCCTTTTTGAGTAATGTCTAGATTCCTATATGTGCAAAAATATTGCATACGCAATTTTTAAACAAAGAAGAGAAATATCATGAAATCTCCTTTTGTGCGCATGTTTTATTAATTTGATTAATTAATATTGTTTTTCACTTTATGCCAAATGAGTAGAGTAAAATCGCACATCTCAAAGCTTTCTATCTCTTTCACACATTCTTGTAAATTCAAACACACATTTAACACCAATACACAATACAATTAAATTGTAAATCTATAAATATAATGATTATAATTTATAATACACAACCCAACAAGAACATGTGTTATGATTTTGTACTCAGAGGATTTGAATAGCCTAATAACAAGAGTAGAGTTGTATAACAACATGCTTTAACATCTTGTTTCATTTTCTCTTACTTGGTTCCAATTACTATCACTAGCATTCCTTTGTGTTTACTGGCACACACATACAATAGGCAGACCACACGAATTACTTACATGTGCATGCAAAACTGCTAAAATGTATTTTAGGCAGTTTCAAGTACATTCAAAAGCAAGTAGAAACTTTCATAAATTTGCAAATGTCTTTATGTTAGATTCCTGGAGTTTTCAAACTGCTACATTCAATTGAAGGGAAATGATAATCTCCTCAACCCCAAGGTGGATTGGATCACCATGATGGTAAAGGAAGAGGCTTGTGGCTTTCATATGCCCTTTTCTATGCAGGTGATCACTATAGTGATTTGCCTTTGCTTTTTACAGGATTAATGATGATGGGAGATGAGTGATTATAGATGCGATGAGTGTTTATGGATGATGATGTAGAAGGAAAATGGTATGATATGAGAAGCCAACAACATCACAATCACATGGTGAAAACACTCACATTTTGTGCAGGATTTGAATCTGCAACCTTGGGCCTTGCATGGGCAATGTGGCTCCAAGCCCCGATGCCACTAAGGCAAGCTTGAAAAGAAGAATTACCACCATTTTCAATCTCTTCTCTTCTACTGTATATTGAAAAAAGTTCCAATATTATAAATTGTATGAGAATCTCAGGACAAAACTAAATATTTCATTTTGGCCATTTGAAGAAACCATTAAGTGTTGGATCATAGAAAAGAAATAAATGGTGAATCCTCACAGAACATTTCTCTATTTGTATTTTGAATGAATGTAATATAAAGAAATTCTTACCTTTGAAATCTTGATTGAAATAATTTATTGTTATTCATACTAATTTTCCCATTTGCTGATTTTAGTTAAATAAAAAACAATCTCATGAACATTTTCACGTGGATATTTTTTAGATCTACTTTCTTTCTTCACAATAATTGTGAAGAAAATATAATTATTATAAACTCTTTACATAAAATATTTTGTACATTAAATTAAATATTGCACAATATCAGTTTAAAATTCAAAAATAAATGTTTATTAATATAAATAATTACTGACTGTAGATAATTATTTCAACAATTGTTTCAGATATGAATATTGTTACTTTTATACTCTCCAAGGTTTATTCAGATTGTTTGGATGCAAAATTCAAGAGAAAAGAATATTTTCACTGAGAAAATCAAGTTTCAAACTTATAGTCATGCCCATCGGCCCCTTGGGTCATGACAAATGGCAGTGGTTTTGTGTGTACTGAAGAGCTGCATTTCCTAGTATTCCCAAGTTAAATGTTATCAGACATCACTCAAAAGAGACAGTGTTGGCAATTCACAATGTAAGTGACCCTGATTTTGAAGATGTTATTTCTCAACACACTGAAGAATTTAGTAGTACATTCTTTTGTGCCTAAGAAGAGATGAGATTTTATTGTTGTCTGTTCAATGCATCACAGCATAGATAATGATGATTCCACCAGGAAACCAGAAATGATACTTTACTATAATTACTGACATAATGGGGTATATTCTCTTTATAATAAATGTGTAAATTGCTCAACAGCAAGGAAACTATTATGTTAGGTGATGGCAATTTTTATGTAATATTAAATATATCCGCTGTTAATATTTGTGTTTATACAAATGCTTACGAGACAACAATAAGGGAGAAAATATGTTCAGAAAAACTTAATTTCTTGATGACATGAAGTCTCATATGTGCTGTTGTCTTGAAATCTGATGATTGCTAACAGAATAGCAACTGTGACTAACAGGAAACGGGTGCTTTAAAATCTTTGGAAGTAATTCTTTTCTATTAATAATAACTTTTTAATATTAATTGTGCCAAATTCATTAAATAAACATTCATCTTTAGTAATCTACTTTCATACTCATTATTGCTACCATATGTCATTCAGAACACAGCAGGTACCCAGAACCTATGCTCACTACTAACACTACAATAATTGATGATCACGACTAGAAGGTTAAGGAGAGTTATCAATTTCCAGCCAAAAATGCACTCAACTCATCCATTACATATCCATTTGCCATATAAAGATTTGCAACTTCTGCAACAGGAAACCAACACGAGACATTATGGTGTCTAAACATATTTTGGATGCATGCACATGTATGTATACAGGCAGATGTAAGCACACGTACATGAAAGAACTTCACCCATTTTCTTTCATACACACATAAATACACATTGACTTACCACTGTACTTGCACACATTCTTGATCTAACATTCACTGTCACTGACAAACATATAGACATACACACGTGCTTTCTTTGCATTTCCAGTTTCCATACACAAATAATACTTTTTAATCATGGCGAATATAATTTGTCTTCCTCATTTTCATGACAATGAACACATTATGTGATGAAAATCTCTCATATTTTTAAACATATTTCTTTACTTATTTATAATATTGAAGAAAGCAAGCAAAACTTGTTTCCTGGCAGATATTCCTGTCATTTTATTGATATGGTTGATTTGTTCTATATTATACATAGAGCAACTTACCCCAGAGATAGATCACAATATACTCCATATCCCGTAATATTTATAAATATTTTAATTATAATCATAACTTTTAAAATCTTCTATTAATAAATATTTACAACTACACAACATCAAATATACATTGTAATATATAATATATTTTTTCAAGAGGAATATCTTAGCTGCAAGCCAGATTAATATGAAGGCTTTGCTAAGTTTATATATTGATATGTTTTCTCATGCACCATATGGCATGTTCATGTTGTAACACTATAAATAAAGTAAGAATAATTATTCTCTGAAGATCTTGTAGGCCTATCTGACAGATCATAGCTGCACCTAGTGATACTAAAAAAATATAGTAGACACGACACGACTGAGTAGTGTAGACAAGCTGAGTACAACAACAAGTAGTTCCTATTGTATTGCATCGGCACTAACAATTGAGCAAGAAATGGTGAGAGAGAGCATGGGCTCATGACAGTCAGTACATGTAGCTGTATCCAGCTTCCATGCAGAGAGCAGGGAGCGGGAAAGTTAAGAACCAGGCAGACTGCAGGCCTCTGGTCCCAACCAAACAGTCGCAGCCCCCACACATTAAACAACACTTTGATACACAAACTCATCTGTCTCTGTCTGGAGGCCCAGTGTTCCATAAGTCCCACTGTAGCAAAAAGAAAGTAGTCCCACTCACACGTAATAATGAATGATTATAAAACCAAAAGACATAATGTTCACAGCAAATATGATACACTGAATTAGAAAGTACGACCAATTACAACAATATCAATAAGTAACGATTTATGACAATTACAATAAAATAGTCTGAACGTTCACCAGACGTGACCATGGAAAAGAGATGATCAACTTTTAATAGTAATGACAAAATGGTTGTATACAAGTTTATATTTTAAATAGTGGGAGACTTGAGCAGCTAAGGTGTCAGAAGGCTTGGTTCACCAAATATTGAGGCTAAGGGCCAGACAACTTGACATTGTTGTTAAACTTTCAAAAACAATTATGCAAACTCTGCATTTCTTCAATGAATTGCAGTTATTTACTCTACGGCAAAGTTATAATACATTGTTCAGGTAAAATATGAATAGAAACCATCAGAAATTCAGAAATTGTGACACTGTATTATTTACATTCAGTTTTCATTATCAATGGAGATAAAACACAGCAGAAGAAAGTCAGTGAAATCAAATAGTGTTGATTGGGGCCCTATTAGATTGGAGACCTTCTGATTATACCTACAAATGCTTTTATATTGTATGAAGATTGTCATCAACCTTTGTACATGGACTTTTCTACAAATCCTTCAAATCTTGCTTACTTAACCTCTTCCAGCTCTAGTTCCAAGAGAGCTCTTGAAAAAGATGATGCTAATGATGATGCAATCAACTGATTGTTCATTCCATTTTGCAGTCTGCTATCACGAGACATGCGACTTCAAATTGTCTGCAATTCTATGGAGCAGGAGAAAAAAATTAATCAAGATAAATAGATAAAAAATTAGACTTTCAAATAGATGCATTTTTTATAAATATAAATTAATTCATGAAATAATGGAAAAGGGGACACCATAATAAATAATTAAAATTATTTAAGCATTGTTTCCATTGCAGAAGTGGGATGGCCGAATTTCCAAAAGAGACTACATTTTGTACAACTTAACAAGTTATTTTCAAAAGGTTATAAGTCACTTCCACAAATTAAATTTTGCTATTCAGAAGAAAAAAAATATATACAATATCACAAAAAAATGTTATTTATGTTCTTTATTTTTTTCACAATTTAAGGGAACAATGTTTTTTAAAATATAAGCAATGATTTTAAAATATTTTGTGCTTTAAAATGCTCTAAAATAAATTAATAATAAAATGATAGAGAATAAATATGACACTAACAATCAAGTTCAACTAATTGGTGTTATTGAGAACTCTATTATAATCATTAATAAGCTTACTTTTATTGCAGATCCTCTTCGCATTTAGGAATGTCAAATATTTCTGCGAAGAGAGGTGGCAGGCGAAGTTGAGCCCAATGAAGGCGGAACCAGTCAAGTTGCTCAAGGTGTTTTACTCCCAGACCTCGCAGTTCTGGGAGTTTTCCCAGCAATAATGCATTAGCCAGACCAGGCTCTGCACCAAGGCGAGAAACCTGACAACATAGCATAGTAGATCATTTTAAACAAATTAATTCCAAAATGTCCATGGAATACAGTCAATTTTCATATTTGATGGAAACAGATAAAAATTGACAGTGGTATTAAGGAAACATTCTGGTCATCAAAGAAATTTAAAGTGCAGACTAAGAAATATTTTTCATTAAATGCATGTGTAAAGTTCTTTCTGGTCTACAGATAAGTGCTTTTCTTCTCTTTTAAAGGTTAATTATAAAATTAATTGATGGGAAGGGATATGTTAAATGAAATTTCAAAATGAGATTAAGTCTCTAAGAGTTAACTTGACAAAATATTGCAACCATTGTCTATTTCACTATTTCCCAACCTATGCGTGGTATTGCTTCAGAAAAATAATAATTTACAAAAACAACTGAAATAATTTGATATGCGTGTCGATAAAAAAAAAACTTTCTTGAATAAAATGGACATTTAATTAGAAGTAAGTTTCAGTTGTTTTTTTTTATTATTGTCATAACAACCATCTTGATTGAAAGATATTATTTTTTCACTTTCTTTTTTAATACATGTTCAAAAAAATTTACATTTTTACTTGTGAATTCCACTGATGTAGTTTTAGAGGAAGATTAATACCATAAGGGGCCCTAAGCAGACCAAATTATGAGACTACCTAATAATACTGAAATATTAAACCTGTTTAACCAAAATCAATATGAAAAAAAGAATTATAACCTTTCAATTTACAATTTTGATATTCAAGTAATAACTATGATATATAAATGCAAATGTTTTGTAACCTTAATCTGCAATTTTAGCAACAATTATACAAAATGTAAAAAAAAAAAAAAGAAAAAACATTTTGATGTATTTATGAATTAATTTTGATCTAATCTATGAACTAATTTTGTTGAAAAAGTATTAGGGATCCTAAGCACATGCTTACTCTGCGTATGTATTAGTCCTCTCCCCACAGTTTTATCTCCAGATAATATTTTGATTGCCTGTTATGAAGTATGTTAATTTTCTAATGCAACATTATTTAAATGGGCAGTATTAACTTGTTGCCTAGATTGAAGCTGACAGGAGACAGATATGGTACACATTAAACACATACCTCATGTATGTTCAACTTATTACAACTGCAATATATAAGCAAAAACCGTAATATAATGATACATTAACATTAATCATCTGTTCCCAGAAAGCAATAGTGACAAAGACAAACTTTTTTGTTTTCTTAGCAATGAAGAAAAATATGACTTGTTAGCTTGCCAGAAGAAGCAGTTGTGAGATGAATCACAATTTTGATAATTTAAACTAGATTTTCATCCACTTTGAAAGTATTGCTCTGAAAACACTAAATAAAATAATATTGACTCACTTGAAGTTTAAGAGTCTCAACCAGATGATCATGGTGGCGCTCAATGGTTTTACTGTCTGTGAGACCTGGTCTGTCAGCACACAACAGCACTGTAGCTGAAAACAATGCAGTTTCTGTGTCCCCCAAAGCCAACATGCTGAGTGATCGGCAAAAGTGGAACAAGGATGCAACAAATTCAGGCTGAAAAATAAAGAAAAAACATTTATGCAGAAGGGCTTGAAATATTTAAGATTATTATTACTAGCATTTAAGATTATTATTAGTAGTAGCTTAGTAGACATTGCAGCAACTTGCTGAATGACACTATACACAAGACAGATTATAAATCCTGAAGATTAAATTTTTGTTATTATTATATAAACAAGATGTTACTTTAACCGTGTTTAATCCTGTTAAATAAATGAAAATAAGCTATTTCCTCTCATACAATGTAAGTGAAAAAGATTGAATTCATTTGTCTCAAAGAAACTTTGAATTGTAAAGAATAAACATACCCTGGATATTTGGTTTCTGATAAAATATTTTCAACATTTTCACTTACAAGTCTCTTTGATGAAAGTTGAATTCCTTTCTCTTTTTCCACAAATTTTTAGTATTTTACATATACTATGATTATTTGCATGTCCATAATAAAGTAACGAAAGAGACATAATACAGTGTAACCTATATTAAGAAAGTTGGCTACATGAAAAAGTGTTCTTTTAGGTGGGTGGTTGCTTAGTAGGTAGGGGAATTTAGAATCTATTTTATTCAAATGAATATATTTAAAGGCTTTTAGAATGAAACATTTTGACAAAATTTATTTTGCTCTTTTTGTCTACTTTAATATGTACAATCTTTTTAAATGCATTAAACATTATTTATATCTCCTTGTCTTGATTATAAATAGATGTTTAAATCATTTTCAGTTTTAGTATTCTCAACAGTTTTAGTACTCTCAATCTGCAACAAGTGACCATTTTCTTGGGTAGAATTAATACCTATGTCATTTGGCTATGCAAGGCACATTCATTTTCTAGGAGTCCCAAAACAAGCTTTTCTGACACTTCTTTGCTCTAAAACCAACATGAAGTAGTGGGGTTTGCGAGAGAGCTAGGCACAGAACACAACACAATCACTCGCATGATAGAGGACAAGTAGATAATCTTGTCACCAGTCATTGATATTCTACAGTGCCAGATGTTCTTCCAGGAAAGGGAGGATCTGTTAATTCAAAGAATTCAACCTTCAATAACTTTCATATCCACTGTCACAGAAGACATGAAACTAAAATGGAGCAAGCATGGTACCATATTAGTGGCCACGGTGTATTGTTACATGATTCTCAAGATTTGAAATTCTAAATTTTCTGACACATAATGAACATAAAGTCTGATTAGAAGCTTTATATACTTATTCTTCTGTCAATCTATATTGTTTGCAGATATTGTGAATCAGAGTTACAAGGTTTAAGTGACTGGTTTAAGTTAAATAAAATTAGACCTTGTAAAATAAATTTAGTAGATATATTTCTTAAACATGTAACAAGTCACACTTCACATTAGTGTGATAAGTCAAATACCATTATGAGTAACAAGTCACTTTTTATAGGCATTTGAAATATTTTCTTCTAACATTGCACCTTACAGGAACATATAGTGGCACTTTCAAAAATAATGAAAAGTTCACATTCACGAAGCACAAATCAGTGATTTCAATAAATTGTTTTTGTAATATAGTTAATAGAACAAAAATTTAACGAAATCCTTTTCCTCACTTCTGAAAGCAAGCAATTGACATTCTTAATCTCAATCAATGCGTTTCTTTCAAAAATAAGTTAAAGACTTCTATATTTTGAAGAATTTCTGGTAACATTTAACATTTCAAAAACAATTGTAGATATACTTTTCAGTTTACTTGCAGTTTAATAGAAATGACATATATATGTGTTTTACATACTCTCTCTTATAAATGTATTCCTCATATTTTTTCTTCTATACATTTTTATTATCATGTATTTATTTATTATTAGTTTTAATTTATAAAGGCATTACATTATTTACAGTAACAAGCAGTTTAAAATGACCCTTATTCTTTATGATTCTCTTTTTCATTAAAGTAGAAAATGAAAATGATTGGTCCCCTTTGATCAAGGGAAATTTATTCTTCCGGAATTAACAAGAATCAGTGAATAGTGAAATCATTTGCATAAAAATAGTGTTAATTTCAATACAAATATGCCACCATTTCACAATATTCCCAAGCTTTAAGTTTGATTGAGGAAATGTAGTAAATATCTCAACCATGGCAGAGAAGCTGGGACACAGGAAATGAGGCTCTTCTGCATAAAAATGTTAATTATTACAAATCATTTCTTTATTAATTTCCAAACATCATCATCATGGCAGCTGCTGAGCATGAAAAACTCAATATTCCAAATCAAATATTGCAGATTAAAATACGAGTATGTGTATAGATATTAGCTGCTATTTCTTATGGATCATAATAACTTTCAGTTTAAAAATAATGAAATTGTGTGAATGTACAATGAAATATGGAAAAATACCTTAAATTTTTCATAATGAAAATGTTATATCTTCAAAATTTGTTGGCAAATAGCATTAGACAAGCTTTTATAAAAAAAAAAATTAGGAAGGCTTTATGTAGATCACTGATCAAGCTTCCATGGCACCAACAGTTCTTTGCAAGATGCAATAATATTACAAAGGATGAATGCCTTTGATTAGGTTTGATTGTTGTGCTGACACTTTGTAATAATCAGTCACAGTAGACTAAGTGAAAATTTATGTTGTTCAATCGTCAAATTCATAATTTTATTTGTTCATGATTTCATAACACATTTATGTCAGTATATTAAAGTTCCATACGAGGTGGCATGATTTGCTATTAGTTTCTATAATTTAAAACAAGATAAAAGGGTACTTACATCATACATGAGTTCCATTTGTTGCCGAGTGATGTAGGCTCCATCAGCAAAGGTAAGTGCTGAATCAGATGCCAGTCGTGACACATGTGTCAGCCACATCTCAAAGAAACCTACTTTGATCAAGATCAGCTGATCATCTTGACTGAGCTCACAGAAACCTGCAAAATCACGTTTGGTTCGTTATTAAAAGATAATAATTTTATGAATAAGAAACAAGAGCATTTTTCTTTGCATATTGCTAAAACTGAAAACTTTTCCTTGTACAACATAACAACTGCATTATGAATCACAGCATAATATAATAGGTGAAGATTGGTGATGTTCTCTTTCAACAAATTTTTCATTTACGCTAAATTAAAATGAATTTCTATTTGTTGATTTATAGTTATTTCTAATGTTTTCAACTGAGATATTGACCTTCATTACTACAGAAAGTGAGTAAATATTACATTTGTAAATGTGTGTGACTGGTTTTGGTGAGAGAGGGGAGGGCTGAAACCTGAAGGATTCCTCTTTGGTGTGGCACTGATTCATTGGATTTATCTCACAACACACACATTGGAAAGGTAGAGGTAGCAAGTTACAAAACTTGTGTATTTGAAATGATGCATCAGTCAGTGACAATAATAATAATAATAATAATAATAATAATAATAATAATAATAATAATAATAATTATATATATATAAGAAGAGCAGAGAGAGAGAGAGAGAGAGAGAGCAGAGAGAAGAGAGAGAGAGAGAGGAAGAGAGAGACCAGAAGACAGAGCGAGACAGGCAGAACATAGAGAGAGACAGAGACAGAGAGAGACATGCACAGAGAGAGATAGAGACAGAGACACATGAGAGAGACAGAGACAGGACGAGAGAGACAGAGACAGAGACAGAGAGAGACAGAACAGAAGAAACAGAGACCAGAGACAGAGAGTAGACAGAGACAGAGACAGAGACAGAGCACAGAGACAGAGAGAGACCAGAGACAGAGAACAGAGAGACAGAGAGAGACAGAGAGAGAGATCAGAGAAGAGAGACAGAGAGAGAGACAGAGACAAGAGTAGCACAGAGAACAGAGACGAGAGAGAGACAGAAAAGAAGACAGAGAGAAGAGAAGAGAGAGAGAAGAGAGAGAGAAAGAAGAGAAGAGAGAGACGAAATAAATAGATATACGATAGACTGATAACGAAACCAACCATTAAATAATTCAAATAAAGAACTTAATTTAATATCTGTGTTAACAAAGATAGTATTCTTCTTAAAACTATTGTCTATCCAACTGTGAGGCGCCCCCTCCCCCCTCCCCAGCAGGGGATGGCGACAGATTTTTAGGGAAGGATGAGAACTTCCGATTTCAGCCATGGCGGTACTCAAGAGTCATACGTCAAGAATAAATCTCCAAAATGAGATGCGTACAGCCATTTCTAAATTAGTGCCGAGACTCGACGAACTGTAGGACTCCAAGCAAACCCATCCATCTCACTTCTCTGAACTATCAATACGTTCGTTTTTACTTTTTCACGACGCTTAAGTAGGAACTTGCTCTTTTTACTTTCTCGTTACTGCTTTCGTAGTAGAGAGAAAATTATGTAATGTTTCGCGAAAAAATGGCGAATTTTCGGTGGAAAAACTCTTATTACATGGCACTGGTGACGAAAAAGGGGATAAATCCAGTTTCTAAATTTAGAGAAAAAATCTTCTAGCACATGGTGTAGCCATAATCTCTGTTTTTGGGTCCTTGATACCGAACAATCGAATGACGGCAATACGTCTGTCCGTCTGTCTGCCTGTGAACAACGCTATCCATTTTAAACTTTTCGGGTTTAAATTAGCATATTTTGAGGTTAATTCCGATGTACTCGCAGGCTGCTGCGCGCTCCCATTTCGCGCTTGACTGAAATATTCATCAGTGTTGTCATCCCCTTGTTTACTTCGGAACCTTCGAACTATATATTTTGGTCAATGATCGGTTCTTTTGAATACAATGGGACACGCCATCAACATATTGCACGAGGTCATAAATGCGCATCGCGCGCGAAGTTTGAATATTGAATTTTTTGGTTGATTTCGAAAATATTTTTTCAACTAGTTTGATGGTGGTAATAAATATGTTAAATTGGATTTCCCCCATTTTTCCAAAACTCCAGGTGAGTAATTGCAATATTTCCGCGGGCCCTGATGGCAACAGTTTTGCAGTGCTGTTAATTTATTTAGATTTATTTAGTCAATAAAACAGTAAAAACTGTATGTGACGTAGGGGGAAGAAGATTATCTGCGCACGTTTCCTTGAGTTCCAGAATCTCTTCCCGTCATTTTAACTATAAATAGTTGAAAGATGAGTAAAAATTTAACATAAATAAATTAAAGTAAATTTTAAGAATAAATTTTATAAATAAATTTAAAAAATCGCAAGATTAGCAATATTTGAAAAATAGTCATTTTCGTTTCCGAGTTATAGAAAACTTATTTCCATCGGTACACGAATTGCAAGTAAGATTTTTCTGCATTGCTAACAAAATAGCAACTCGCCCTTACCTCTACTCTTACCATTACAAGCAAAAGGAGAGTTCAACAAAACGTGCGCATAGTGAAGCTACATTTACGTCCAGAAGCAAAACAAGGGGCCATCTCAGCATTTGCTCAATGGATCAGGGAAAAGAGGACAAAAACCTGATCGAGATGGAAGTCACTTAACCGGAAGCGTTCAGACTGCCCTGATGAGATGAGACACTTCTTTGTCAATAATGTACCTCCACGTAACGTTTATTTTTCGATATATGCACAATTTAAAATTATATGTTTGTAAAAATAATGTAGGAGTAACTCTGGAATAATACTTACTGATGCTTTTTTATATGAAACTTATGTATGGTTGCAATAATAGTAAAGGTATTGTAGGGGCGGAGTTGATTAGAGAAGTAAAATACTCATTGTTAATATTATAAAAAAATTATTATTGTGTTGTCTATAAATCCTATTCTAAATGTATTCTAATATCCGTGTCTTGAAGAAATGATTAATAACAAAACAGGTACCCAAAAAGTATTATTGCGTACCAACCACAGGAATTAGAGGTTCCTGAGACAAAAGTCCGTCGTATTTTTAAAATATTCTGATTCTCTGGATGAGAATCCATCTCAAACGACGGGATGCTTCGAATCTTGGAGAAAGGAGTTGGTGAAAACCAGGAAAATGTAGTTTGATGATATTGTTGCACTGTTGCAAAATTGTCTTCAGCGTACATAATTGCATCGTGAGGCAGCTTACGAATAATACGCATCTACATAGGGAAAAGTTCAGATAAAGAAGTCACAGAGTGTTTTTTTTTTTTTTTGGTCGGAAAAAGTTTGTCTTCAAATTTCACATTTTCATTCTGGACAACTTCATAGATTTTTATTGTTATCACGGACACCGTACAAATTAAACAAAAGTAAGTTACTTGTTATTAAAAACGGAGGAATGTTTCTCTAAAAACTATTGCAATAAATCTTTTCTCTATTCTACTTAATGTTTAAGATTTGACCGTGAAACATCTTTTCAGCTACTTTTAAACGCAAATCATTTCACTCATACATTTTAAAAAACTGGTGGTGCTCCAACAGCACAATTTCTTGCGTTCTTTGTAACTGTTCCGCTCTATTATACTACCACATATGCCTGCAAAAGAGTTTTCAACCAGCAATTTTTTTCCGCTGCGAGACTGCAACTCAGGTTCTTCTAGTTAACTCGCCATCAGCCAAATCACTATGCAACAGAAGCTCCGTATTGTTCGAACTCTACGTTAAAAAATGTAGTAATTATCTCAACCCAATGTTTCTAATATAAAAAAAAAATGTACATAACCTCTTTTAAGGAGATGTTTTTCTATAACAGACTTTTTTTCTGCGCACAATTCACCGATTACATAGCTCTCTTCCTACAAAGTAGGCGTGAGATAGTAAAATTTGGAGTGTGTTTTCGGGTAGTGAGTAGACGTGCCAGAAAATATGTACTTACAGAAGACAACATTGTGAGTTCGGCGCCATTAATGACATAAAATCAGCATTATATGTCTTATGAACCTGGTCTCAGTGAGTTGTACAAATTTGCTAAACGAATGCAATGGCATATTCTCTCATTCTTTTATTGATACAAGTGAATGTTTGCTTCTTAGTTTTCCTGTCGTAACAACGAGTAGTGAAATGCACTATAGAGACTTTCTAATGAGACTTTGTTACATCTATTTAGTGAATGAGGTTGCTTGAGAAAAACGCTCTTTTGTATGTGAAACAATTTTTTTAATATGCTCCGTCTATATCGGAACACGTCTCCAAACTCAGTTAGGAGCGACGAACGCACTGGAGTAAATCTCCGTTAATAAACGCCCTCTAGGGGCCGCTGTATTGTCAAGTCACGTCAGTCATAGTCAAGTCAGGGAATCGCCGACAGGTAGCGTCTTCGCGCTCGCGTCTCGCACGCGCCCTGCGTCATCTACCCATCGGCACAATAAAATCACCTCTTAACGCCCCATCCCTTGGAGGATAATATCACTCCTTAAAATGCTTATTCAAACTAAAGAAAACAAAATAAACAAAGACATCAGACTATTGTTGCGTTGCTATTGTTTACAGCAGTAGTTTTACAACGCACAAACATCATAATTTTCAGAGACGAAGCTAAAACGCGAACTTGGTCACATGGAAATAGCTAATAATAAAGAAATATTTGGAATGAAACAAGATGAAATTGTTTTGGAGAAAGATTATAAAAGGAAAAGTATAACTTACTTGAAATGGAAAAGTGTGTCATTTGTATTAAGATAAATATAAATATGTGTCTGAATAAGAAGCAAAAATAAACAGCAAACGATAGATCCCGCAAGAAATTTCCGTCCAACTCTACTTTGTGCATTACAAAGGCATATGAAGGAAAATGGAATTCATTTTTCATTCTAAGAAAATTGCCTAAGAAAATGGGCGGGTACTCACCGGGCACTCTCTTCGCGAATTCCACTACCCTCTGTACGCTGGGAGTGACATGCGCAGCGAACTGCATCCAGAGCCAAGCCTTCTGCTGCTCTAGCGATTCGGCCGTGGAACTAGCCGCTTCGGGGCTTTCAGGCTCCGAACCCTGCAAAAAAGCATATTGCATTTTCATTACTTTGGTCAAGGCATCTCCAAAATGAACGAAGTGAGCAAGTGAATACTCGTTTTATTATCACTACCATGCCTGGAAACCGCTTTGGATTTTATAATTAGCTCCAAAATCTCTTACCCAGCTTTCAACCATAAATGGTGGAATGACTGTTATTAGGCAGTATAAGTAAGAATGTGCAACAACATAGAAGAATAGTTTGGTAAATGTCGGGAATGTAACAAAAGATTCCCATTGTTTCCAGTAATTTCAGAAAGATTTTTACATGATGAAGATCGGGACTAAGTGATCGTTCAATCCTCACTCTATATTATTTCCATAACTGCCTCATTATTTAATTTTTATTAATTATTTATTTTTATTATTTATTCATTTTTATTATTTATACATTTTTATTATTTATTCATTTTTAGTATTTATTTATTAATAAATTTAAAAAGTTAGAAAGTTAATAACTGTGTGACGTGTCGCGAGGAAAAGGACAATCTGTGCACGGTTTCTTCAGCTCTGGGATCTTTGCACTAACTCACATACATTTTAAGTTGAAATATGGACAAGGGCAGCAACAAGCGTTTTTGGCAAGTAAGGGGAAAATATTTGTAAAGGGAAATCAGCTACAGATTTTAGCTATTATCCCTTATCATGTCCTTCGTGGTGGAGTCGATATACTGCAGCGAGAACATGGGGAACGATTACTTGAATAACTACATACTACTACCACATTATACGTTATAAATATGTATACTATGCTACTACTACACACTGTAACTACACACCACTACACTGAAATCAGCAAAATGTGCACAGATGCAACATTTATGAAAATAAATTGTAAATTATTACAGTACGAGAATTGATTGACTGATTTTTCGTGTTTCCGGGAGCATTTTTTATCACGGGAGGTGGCGGTGTTCCTGTTGAATGGCGAGATCCGACGGTGACCTATACGTCGACTTGCGGTGGTGTTCTCCATCCAGGTATCTTTCACCAGCGGAGCACCGCCCCAGCCGGAAGGTCTATGCTCCCTTCTGGTCTCCTGCCTTGTGTGAGTGGTAGTGCAGTGTACGTAAATGTGTGAGCAAGAAGAAGGTGAGGAAGAGGAAGGAAATATCGCGCGTGGTTTGCGATTTATTTATTATGGTTTTGTCCCGGCATTCGCCTGTTTTTCATCGGAGAAACTACTAGAAATTACCACTTAGAGCATTTGGCTGCTAGAATTCTCCTACAGACTGCGGTTGAATTCGAATCAGTTATGTAGCTAATGAGCTGTCTGCTATGAGGAGTTAGAACTTTTAAATTAAATCCAAAGCGGAATATTGTAAGTGTTCCATACCTTTCTCTAGTGGCGGATTTTGCGGAACAACTTTCAGCGGGAATTAACTGGATCCTCTTGAGAAATAGTTCTAAGACTCCTCTGTTTTTAACTATTGCAAATATGCATTCAAAATACGTAGTTACTGACACTTTTGCACTCAAAAACTTTACTGAAGTTTTCACAACTTGTTACCTTCTTCTGAAGACGAATTAAGTCAATTAAGGGCCCATTATAACAGACGCTTATTCTAAACTTTTCGGTGCAATTTACTAAAGTAGTGAATTTACTACAATTCGAAGTTTCGCCATTGAAAATAAGGACATGTCGCATTAACGGGAACCGTAATGTTGAAGTATTGTTTTTCATGAAAGTTCTCCGAATGTACTGTGCCATTTATTAGTGCGACAACTGTCTACATATGCTTCGAAAAATATTAACAAAAATGGAGGTATTGTGTATTCGCATTATTTTTTGTGTTCAAAAGTAGCTACACCAACTCAAGCATTTCGTCAAATTTGTGTCATATTTTATAAAGACAATGGCAAGTTTTTAAATGCAAGTAATTTTTAGATCTCGGAATAAATGACACAAAAGTCTAGAAAATGTAGAAAAGTCGAAGATGGTCAACTTTTGCCAATGAACATGTGGCGGGAAATTTCATGTAACTAAGATACCCACGTGATATTTGTCCCTTGCTTGTTAGACATTTCCTCATTTAGCAATGTTCGGCAGGCATCCCTTTGTATCAGAAAGTGAACTGCCGAACATTAGTGAATGGAGAGTTGCCAAGTAACCAAAGGCAAGTGCAACATATTTAACTTCGTTGTATGAAGTTCCCTCCACATGTTCATTGGCAAAAAGGTATCTTCGATCACAACTTCAGCCCAGTACACGAACTGCACATTCAAGCAATATAGGCTTGTTATGATGGGGCTACAATTACTGCATGAATAATTTTACATATATTTCGAGTTTCTGACCACCCTGTGATGGAGTAGGTGTCACCAGAAGAGCTAAATCTTCACTCAATTCTTCGCTTCACCTGACCCCCGCATATTTCCATATATGCTTCCCGATATATTTTCTTCGCATGTTTACTTTATTCCTTGCATGCTCACCATATATTTCTTGCATTCAGTACCACATGTACCTCCGCATATTCTCCATATGATCCTCCAGTTCTTTCCGCACATATTTATCACAGGTTTTCACATATATTTCAATATTTCAAATGTACTCCCAAACGTTCTCCCAAAAGTTCTCCAAAAAAGTTCTTCAAAAGTTCTTTCAAAATTTCTTCCAAAAGGTCTTCCAAAAGTTCTTCCAAAAGTTCCTCCAAAAGTTCTCCCTAAAGTTCTCTCAAACGTTCTCCCAAAGCTTCTCTAAAAAGTTCTCTCAAAAGTTCTCCCAAAGGTTCTCCCGAAAATTCTCCCTAATGTCCTTTTAAATGTTCTCTCAAAACTTCTCCCAAATACTAAACCAAAATTTCTATCAAAAGTTTTCCCGAATCTTTCTTCAAATGTTCCTCCAAATATTCCCACAAATGTTCCCTAACTCTTCCTCACATGGTCACCGCATGATACCGCACTTGTTATTATGGAAAATATAAGTAAAAAATTATAAGACTAATATAAATGTTTTTTATCGCGAAATATTATAAACGTTTGGGCAGCGTATAGTGCCGGATGAAACGGGACATTCTGATTCTCAAGAATATCCCGAAGGACGAAACTGACTTGAGGCTCTACGATGAATCTTTTCTGAATTCTACCCGATGCTAAAGTGCGAGGTAACGTTTCCAGGATTTGCATGTGCGCCTGATAATCCAAATTTGCCATAATCTCCGAACTTCCATGTTCTTTGCCTTACATCTCTTTGATGCATTCCGGAGGGGTCCCTATTCATCAGTAATACAGTTACAGGGTTTGTGTACATGGTTTCTTATAAAAGGGAACGATCCGTTACTTTTTCTTAGCGTATTATGCATTACGTTGTGTTCCATTTCTTGCTGGCGATTCCCCATGCACAAGGTTCGGCATGTATCCAGGAGGCACGTTAGGCAACCCAAAATGTGTGTGTATGTGTTTATGTGGGAGGGGTGCGTGGAGGGGTGAGAATCAAGTGCCCGCTCGTTTCACGGAAAAGGACGCACCCGCCGAATGATTAAATAATGTATTTTTTCAGAAGACATAAAAACATCAACACAAAAGTATATATCTGAAAGGGGAACTATAAAATGAATATTAAATATTCTGAAAATGGTCATGTACAAGCAAATGTTTAAGAATTTCTGTTTAAGTTAACATCCAATGAAGTCAGAAGCGATTATAAAAACTCTGCGAAAAGCTAAATTATCTAATGACAGAGAATCAGAGATATGCGAGAGAACTGGATAATTTACACACACAGATATCACTACAAGACTGCTATTTTCTCGAGAAGGCGATATCCATGAAATTTTGAATTTCTCCCCTAAAGAAATGTAACTAACCACTAAAGATATTCACTGAGAAAATCTACGTATTAAAGCATCATCTCCAAGATTACTTTCCGTCTTCCCAATCACAATAAAGGTCCTTACGAAAATCAAATTTTGAAAGAAGTAAAAAGCGCATTTGCTACTGGCTCTTGGTAACCAACAGAAAGTGACATGCGAGTTAAGAAATTTGAATGGGCAGTTTGAACTGTCGCAGATACTACACGACATTTTAATTCCACATTCATCTTCAAAAATATTCACTAGTCTCTTTTTTAGACAATAGCAATCCTTGGTTGTGACACTCAAAGAGGGAAAATTATGCTTTTATTAATAGTTACTAGGTCTTTAAAAATATAAAAAAATGTTTCATGTGCTAGAATTGAATTTTCGAAATCCGCTTTGTTATGCAATTGAACAAGACCAGTATTGTGGCCACCATTATTCACAGCCACACGCAAGGAACACTCCTCATCGAAGGACAAGTGTGACCAGGTGGTTCGGGAGTCAGGAAGCGCTGGAAGGAATCATCCAAAATTTAGTGTATTGTTGACAGTCTAGAAGAAGAGATGGTGAGAAACGCGGGTATGGGAGATGACATGTTTACGTCTGATGTCAGCAATTAATTAGCTGTTTATATTGTATCTTACATGTTGGCATTCCGCACTTGCAATCATAAATGACGATCAGATGCACTTCAACAAATATAATTACATTCTTTGATCCCTGAAATTCGCTTCGAACTGTCTTTAAGAGACCGAGATATTTACTAGATTAACTTTTTTTAAATTTTTTCCAAACTTCTGAATCAAAGTGGAAAGAGATAGATCGGGTACGAGTACATCTATTTTACACAATCGCTCAACGATCGCGACTAATTGCTCGAGAAAACAGCTGATGATAATTATTTAGATAAGGTAGACAAACATGTGCAGTACATGAGTCAAAATGACTATATCCGACAGTTCAAGTCAGTTTTTGTATTTTTGAGCCGAAACCATATAAAATCACAAAAGAAAAATACTGAAGAAAAAGTTTGTGATTTGACTTGAACGTATAAATCTTACACGACTGCAATAAACGGTCCGTGGCCCGTTTGTTAGGGTACTGCTCCGGCATTCGCCCAACATTATATCAGAGAATCCTTGAAAAACTACCGATCGGAACAGTCGTCCGCTAGTATTC